TTTGCCATTGTTTTAACAATTTATTACAGGGAAGTATATAATGAAGCAGTTTCCATCTAAATCTTTTATATCTATTATCATCTAAAAATGTAAAGATAAATTTTAATGTTTCATATGCTAGATAAGTATTTTTTAGTGTTACATATGATTTCCATTTTAAAAAGTCAATGGGTGTTTGTATTTCCTTTGTTTTAAGTAAGAAGTTATAAATGTCACGATTATTTAGGGTTTGAATAGGTTTTTTGTTTATGATGTTAAGATTTTCTTTTATATTTATATTGACTTTAGTATGTTTAGATGGTGAGTTTTTGATGATATTGGTCAGCTGTTTTGGAATAGCTTTCTTCAGTTTTGTAAGCTCAGCTATCCAGTTTTCCTTTTTTTTAGTTTACTTAGTATGATGTGTAAGGATATGTTTCCGTCTTTATCTAATAAATCATTTATAACCAGAATGTTGCTTTGTATCCAGTTTTTAAACAGTAAACATTTATTGTTGATGTTAATGTATGTATTGCCCCAAATTATTTATTTCCTTATTTCCCAAAACATGGTAGGCTTTTGTTTAGTTTTTTTCTTTTGCTTTAATCCAGGTCTTTATTAACTGCAGATAAAACTCTGGGATTTGTTTTATTAAATTTTTTCAATAATATTTATATTGTCTATACTCATCTTGAATATTAAGAAATTATCTCCCATCTTATCCAGAAAATATTTTGGTATTATCTTCCAAGTTTGTTCAGCATTTTCTTCAAACAATAATTGTTTAATCCATTTGAGTTGAATTGTTGATATATAAATATCTATACAAATCATTTGTAATCTCCCTTCCATATAATTTTGTGACAAAGTATCTCTTTTAATCATATCTCTTTTCCCATTCCAGATATAGTTATATATCATAGTTTTACTGTTTTGTATAAAGTCTTTTGGTAATATCATTTAAATCGCTATATAAGTTATATTTGGGAGTATAAGAGACTTTACTACAGTTATTCTTCCTAGCATACTTAGCTTTCTTTTTGACCACATACATAATCTTTTCAATTTTATCAGCTTGCTTTTGACAATTAAGTTTTTGACACTTTTCTTTATTATAGCCTAAATAAATGCCTAAACTTTTTATTGGTACTTTCGTCCAATTGATTCTTTCAAATTTATCTTTAGTATGTTTAAGTCTACCTAGCCAAATTCCTTCAGTTTTAGTTCTATTTAATTTAATCCAGAGAATGAGCCAAATGTTTCTTTTAAGTTCATGACTAAAAATATCTGTCACCAAGGTCCAGAGCACTGTTAGATAAGGAGGAGCTAACTCGTATGTACTCGAACCAAAGGACAGGGGGTCAGTCTATCGCTAGACTTAATGTTCTGATAGGCATAGCTAAAACGCAAGGAAGGTTTTTATAATTTAATCAACGATAACAATTTAGATGAATGATGATAACAATCAATTAGTAAACAATGCCAAATAAATAATAATTAACGTACAAAGTATCAAATCTAAATATCAAATCCAAAGTAAAACTATTTCTCCTTACAATGTAAAATGTAAAATAAATGCCAAAACTACTAATTCATAAAATAAACTTAATCTCAAAATCAAAATGTATAGTCTCAAAAATAAAAGATTCTCAAAAGTATTTTCCAAAGTTAAACTACATGTATGAGTCAGAGATAAATTTTGTCTCAACAATAAACCGTCAACTATTTCAGATATTGTTATTATTTGAATTACTGACACCTAGTTGGAGAGACCAACATACCATTGGCATTGCTTAGGAAAAAGTTTTGCAATATTTGTTTCAAAGATATATTATTCAATCATTTCAATCAAGTTGCTCATTGAATCATTGTAGTGATAATTGAGTAGTCAAAATGTGATAATTGACCCCCATCCCTATATGTCATAATTTGAAATTATCATAGTATTCAAACTTTTCATTTAGTTACAATGATTTAAAATTCTCTGTACTGAAAATACACGTTTGGAAAATATCTTACAAAGATATCAGGCTTATCATTGTGAAGGCCAGATGCGCATTTCGTCTACAAAAGACTTATCACAAAAGTTAAAAGGCAAAATAGTAACGAAGTTGAAGAGCATTAGTAGTTATTACAATAAAGTTAACGTTATCATGATATGTTGAACCTTCTACCACATAAAATTGACCTTTAGTCCCTAGAAGTCAGATTTTAGGAAAATCACATGATTTGAGACTAGTTTGTAAAAAACTACATTAGACTAAATCTGTTAGAGACTGAAGTTTCTGAAAACAAGATTATTTATTAGTTTAAAATGGCATTAAATAAGCTTTTGAGAGTATTCCAACAAGTTAGGAGGAAGAACGACTTGAATTGACCCTTCATATGTTGTACGGTCACTATCACGAATCGGTCGAGCAATGCCATGTGTTGATGTCTCAACTCATTAGCGACATATTGTTTTTGGTCTTAGATCTTTACACACCAGTATAGTCGTCTGGTATGTAATTTAACCGATTTGGGACCTATACCCGATTGTGACAATTTTGCTGAGCGTGTATTCGCATGGTGGATGATGCATGCATAACAGGAGACTCTTGTCCTTTCGATGCACACAGTCGCGCTATTTCGTAGTTCATAAGTTCATACGGTTCCCTCAGGTTTCTGTTTGTTACCTTTATTTTCGATTGATTCATAATCTATTACGAGATCTGAACATCGGTTAACCACTGTCGTTTTAATCTGATTTGGTCGTCCAAATGTTTAATTCAAGCCCATTGAAATTCGAATCTGGCGTAATATATTATAAGTCTGGTATCTTTGATTAGTGTTTTCTCATTGTGAAAGGCCGTCTGGTCATCTTTGTTTGCCGACATCCACGTACTTTGGTCAAAAATGGATATGCGTCTCATTGGCAATCATACCACATTTCAGAGTAACTTACGAGAAATTTTTATCATTACATTTTTGTGAATAGGACCCCAGATGCAGATTTCGTCAACAATTGTCTCTTTAGTCATGCCAAAATATTTAATATTCCGAAACCTAATAGAAAAGTTGAGGGGTTGTTTAAGCAAATACAAAAACTAAATATGCATATGTCCATCTGTGAATACTCAATTTGAAAATAAATTCTCGCACAATTCAGGTAAAATTAGAAGATAATTAAAACACGTCAGATGTCGTTAGTTGAATACAGGTAGGGACTGTTTATCCTATTGAGCACTGAAGTTTAGTCTTTGTATTGATTCGAAAAGGGGGGGGGGTGTTTTAGTCTTTATTTAGGTTTGCATGTTGTATATTTAAAATTTTTTGTTTCTATGCTGTTTTTTTCTTTTATTTTATGATATTGTGTATACTTTTTCATGAAAACTATGCTTTCGTTGAACAATGTATCCTGTATAGGTTACACTTCTGTAAACATAGACAATGTAAATTCCCATAGGAACTCCTTTTACGGCTAAAACTGTACCACATTTACTATGAAGTTTCGAAATATATCCTAGAATGGAAAGCTCATATGCACTACTATTCTTTTTCAAAGGTCAAAATATAGGGCTGTGCGGCATATTTTCAACATATTTATGCACCGAACTTCTAAGAGTTTAAACTTATAATTTAACTCTGTACTATACCTCCCTTCACTTTTGGTCTTCATTAGAATTCAATTTCGCCGCTATCCAAGTGTATTTATACTGGTAACATTCCCAAGTTATGTCTCTACGAGATTAAATACAAGGATCATATCAGGGAATTAGTAGGTAAAAGAAAATATCTATTAATATTATATTTCTCCCCTAAAGAGGCGTGGTTTGTGAAACAGCTTTATTTACAAAGTACCACCTATAAGGGTTAGAAACGTTACATTTAACGATGGTTTACAAATTTGGAAATGTCTCTTAAGGTAGTTCAGGGGTATACCACCATCTTGAATTGCACAGTACATAATAGGTCTAGTTCTTTGCCCGAATCTGCAAATTTGGAGACAGATTTGCAATTTATTGGTTACACTGTTTATTCATATAAAGAAAACTTAGTGATTCATTGCATTATCGAAAATGTTTTAACTAATACCAAATATTTGTGTTTTTAGAATCAATTTTTCAAATAAGCCATTTAAGGGGAGATAACTCTTTTAGTACAAAATTTATACTTTACATATAGGGAAATTTTCATTTTTTACTGGTAGCAAGAAAACAAGTTCGGTGACATCATTTTTTCTTTCTATTTTCTTAAAATATATTATAAAACCTATCTTCTCATATTTTATTTCAAATTCTGTCATATAGATTTCTATTAATGCACAAAAATGTGTTTTTTTTCATGAACAGCAAATTTTGGCAATTTTGAACGACTCGTACCTTGAAAAATAGTGCGGTGACCCATACTTTTTATTGTTGTTTTGAAAAAAGCATAGTAAAATCTTCATTTTGGCAAAGTATAAGAAAATTCTGTCATTTTTTTTCTATATCCCTGAACTACCTTAAGCTAAACAACAGATTATTTTAGCTATTGTATAATGCCTGTTTCGATCTCATTGATGGATTTACTTAATATCAAGAAAGTACGGTCAAACTATTTTACTCAAAGTTGACCTTTGATCAATTTGGTTTTTTGTTTAGGACCCTATTGGTCATATTATCTAACATTTCTACGCAATTATATACATACCTGAAATTCATAGGTTTTAATAGTTTTGAGTTTGTTGATGAAGGTAAGAAAAAAACGCTTCGAGCACACTAAATCTATGAAGTGTTAATTCGCCACTTTATCAGGAAGTGCTGAGTCTTTCAATCTTTGGTTTTCTTTAACAGTTGTTTATGATTTTGTGTTGTGTCAGGGTGTTGTTACTTTCATCAAATTTTGAATACATGTATTTTCTTATATTATTAGAGCACATACTTGATGGGCAGCTAGTGTTGTCTAATGTAATTATTTTAAAACTAGTATTATTTAAGTCATATAGAATATATATTACAATGCAATAATGGTTCTACACATTTATCGTATTTCACAGATAATAGAAAAACGCAGATAAATTGATAAAACATGCCTTCAACATTTTTAATCAAACACAAATCTGGCGGAAAGTTTATACATCCAAAAGGTGGACATCGTAACCCGGCTAATGACACAAAATTGATTCTCCATCAAGATATACATGACAGGATGTATTTTCAGCTTGATGTTCAGGAAAGTCACTGGGGTTACATTCGACATGTTAGCAGCGGAAAAATTGTTCATCCTGATGGAGGCCATTTGTTTCCAGGTAATGGTACCAACCTTGTTCTTCACTCAGATTATCATGCAGGCGCACTTTTTGCACTTGATAACGTTGATGATTATATAATTCATAAAGGGGGTAGATTTGTTCATCCAGACGGTGGAAGTCCAAATCCCTGTAACGACACATACGTGGTCCTGCATGAAGACAAACACGATGCTATAAAGTTCCAATTTGTTTCACCAGACGACATCAATAAAGAAGTCTTGATCTATGGAAAAACATCGGTTAATGGTCACTGGAGAATAATTAATACAATCATAAATCCAATGGCAGAACATACATATACCATATCGTTCACCGTGGGAAAGTCCAAGACGGAAAGCAGGAGTTCAACTTTTGCCTTTAAATGGGAGATTTCCTGTGGGTTTTCAGCTAATACTGCATTTGGATCTGCCTCAGCGTCAATGTCAGCTTCCACAGAATATATGATAAAGAAGGCACCATCAAATACTTGGTCGGAGCAAAAAACCGTAACCAATCAAATCAAAGGTATTATTTTTGTTACTTGTTTACAATAACAACAATACTCAGGTGAAAGGAAGAGGTGTGATAATTATTTCTTCACTGAAATAGGTAAAACTATTAAGTTCTTCAATTCTTTTAAAGTTATGTTTGATGTACTTCTAATTGTATTGGTTAATATATAGTATGGGCAATTTAATTTGAATAAAATGGGATGGAAGTGTTACGTCATAAACATGTAGATATTTAAGTGCTAACATGGTGGTAGATGCATGCATAGCAGACCCTTATCCTGCATCGTTTCTTTTGGAATCATGTGATTCATTCAGTTTTTGTTTGTTACATTGATTTGTCTTTTTAACCAATTTATGAGATTGGAACATCTGTAAACTGCTGTTGTCTTAATTTTCCCTGAAAGGCAATTTTACACAGATTATTGTAAATAAGTTATTAGCAAAGAATTTTTAGTACCCAAATTCACATAGTTGTATAATACATTTGCACAAAATCTCTTTTTGGTTTAAGATGTGGCTCAAATCTAAATTTTAATGACAAGACATCAAAATTAAGGTTTTGAAGTTTTGCATGAACTGCAAGAAGTTTTCAGCCGTTTAGCAAATTTGTGAGTTTCAGTTGAAATTTTAAATACTGATATTCGATGAACTAACGCAAAATGTAATTTGATAGAATTACAATATTTTTTCTTTTCGGGGTCAAGGGCTCAGAAAAGTGGCCCTTATCATACATACCCTTTCCTATGAAAACATACTAAATATTAAATACTTATTCCGTTGGTAAATGTAAAAATCATTATGAAACTAAGTTCGAATTTCCTCTGGCAAATTCTGTTTATATTTCTTTATGTTTTTTTTTAAGGATGTATGCACCCCCGGCTTGGTTGTGAGCAATCCTAATGAATATAAATCCAGAAAGCGCTTCGAAAGCACCAAATTTTTTAACTCCTACTTTTACTTTCTAGCACTTGGTTGATTACCCTGCTTGTGGACTGTTAGACAACGAGAGTATAAACAGCTTATTAGTGCATAATTTATAACATAATTTTGTTTTTGATTTTCAATTGGAAAATGTAGAAATCATTACGGTACTTAGGTCGAACCTCCTCTATGTAACTCTGACTTTAGATGGTTAAGATATTATGTTTATTGCAAAATATTTAAGTTGTAATATAATTGCCAAAGAGACAACTATCCACCAAAAACAAAGAACGCAGATGTAATCAACCAAAGGTGAACGTACGGCATTCAGCAATAAGCAAATTCATTATGAAAGGCACCGGTTTAATAGAATGTGACATGAATTTATGTTAAAAAGAATAACGACAACCAATGAATTACATGTTCCTGACTTGGAACATGCAAATGAACATGCAAATAACTAAGGTGACTTGGTCAAACATGTGTGTGAGCGTTAAATCTTCCCTTTAATGGCACAGTAGATTAAAAGCATACCATAAGATCAAATTGTAAAACTCAGTTGGAAAGAGTTTAACTCGTCAGATCGTCACGAAGCACAACTAACAAAAAGATTTACGACTCAGAGTACCGATCTAAGTGTACTTGCCGTTACTGAAAGCTAGTTCCATGCACGTTACAACTAACAAATACCTATTTTTGTTTCTAAACAGAATATCCATTATTAAACAACTAATGGATGTAGCGTTATTACTTCATAAATAGTCTCAGAATAGCATGATCTTTTTGTAATGTCAAAATATAAGTATTGACAGGATAAATGTTCATAACTGTTTAGCAAGAAATGTTTAGTTATGTTTTAATTTGTTTCAAAAAATCAGTGTGAGAACTTATACAGACAATATAAGGTTCCTTTTGGTTATATATCTTCTCGAGCATTTATACATCACAAGTTTTCAATCGAGCGTTCCTGACGACGATAAATCCTGAAAACTACTTCGGACACAGAACATTTATGAGGGGTTAATATCGTTTTCATGCAATTAACAAAAATGAGATTAATTGACCTGATGATTTAGCGAATTTCCAAAAATAATTAGGAAGAAGAAATAAAATGACGGTATAACCTCTTATTTATGCAATGCTAATCAACTAATCTTTAAAAAAAATCGCCGGTTTAATTTTGTAGGAAGTTGAATATGAGTTTTGTACTAATATTCTATAAATATTTTCGTGTTCATCATTTATTCTGCTTTTAGTTTTTCCAGGAAAGTCTGTAGTAACATGGCAGTATGTTTTTGATGTTGCCCAGTGTGATCATAAAGCTATCTTCCATAGCAACATTCTGGCTGACACTGATTCTGTATGGAATGAACCGGAAGACTTGGCTGGTGTTGCATATGATTAAAACAAGCGGATTAAAATAATTGTGCATATATATAAAATCATTGAAACATTTTAAAATTAATTACTTATTTATTATCTAACATGATTATGACAAAACAATAATTCAGCTAGAACAAAACCTTATATATGTATCACACGTGATGTGATTACAATTAACATTTGTATAAGTAATAGTTGTAATTATGAGTAATGGTTGTAATAACAGTGTAGAGTTTAACTTGTACTAGTTTATTTTCATTTATAGGCAGAAATTAGCATTTCAGAGTGTTTATTAGAAGATGTGTGCAAAAAATCCTATAACATATGAAGGGTAAAGAAAAGTTTTGTTTTATTTCGCTGTCACTTTCAAATCGTAATTTCTCTTTTTAATTCTAGCGTAGATATAAGAAAAAACGGAACATCCAAATTCAATTTGCTTAACGACAAAATTAGGTGTAAGCAGTGACATGTAAATCATAGAATATATATTTTGTTTCTTTGATTAGAAAATGTGATCCCTTACAACTGATATCAAATTTTTCACGATCAAGTCATTTAAGTTGAAATAACTTTTTATGGAACGTTTGTTAAAATTCCTTTGCACATCTTTCTGGATTTTCGTAACATAATTAGATAGGGAAAATATGACTTCACACTTGTTACATTCCTAACATAAATCATGATTTTTGAGGGAAAATATACGAAATGAGCTTAATTCATAATTAAATGACAGATAAACTGTCCAATTACTACTGACTTATTCAGTTTCGACTGCTTGATTAATCTTTTCAAAGCTATATGAAATACAGGTTAAAATTGAGTAAAATGCAGCTAGTAAAAATGAAACCAGTAGCACGAAGAATGCTCTTTATATTCTGTTTTGACATCTTAGATGTAGCGGTTAGAGTTGATGAATATATTGGGTTCAATGTACACGATTTGTCCCTTATATTTGAGCAACAGGTTAGACACTCTTTTTACGTTGGCCGAAATCTGGCGTCATTGTAAAAACAAAACCTAATGAAATACATGTCAATAGTTCACTACTCAACAATAATTCAGTTCCGGATAATTGTTCATTTTTGTTTTTCATAAAATGTCTTATTGAATCTGTGCTTATAAACGCTATACTTAGGAAATGTTATCGATTTATTTATGGTTTTTTTTGCTTAGATAGAGACTAGTAAAGTACCATTTAATAATATTTGTTGATAAACGAAAAAAAAAAAAAACAAACACCAGTGTTATTAAATTTTTGAAAAATGTAACTGTTACTGTTATTTAGGAATGAAAAGCATATCATTATAACCTTGCAATTTAATAACACTTATTGTCAGATATTTAAATCAACTCAGGGTAGTATAGTGGTGTTATATTGCAAAAAATTGAGCAATTTGTATATTGTCTTCGCTTTAGTTAAACAATCGTATACAAAATAAAACACAAATTAAGATAATAGATGTATTTTCCAAGCAGAAAAAAATACGTTAATTTTGAGTTTCTAAAATTTCTGAAACAAAAATGTAACCAGATGTTTAAAACAATAATGAATAAGAAAAAAATATAGAAGTGCAAATGTTATTTGTCTAGCTAGTACATGATTTTCCATCAATCTTTTTATGAATAAAATTAGTCTTCGCAGTGTGTTTTTGTGCACTTTTGTGTTGACATGAAATATCATTATATATAAAAATACGAAAATGTGGTATGATTGCCAATGAAACAACTCTCCACAAGAGACCAAATGACAAAGAAATTAACATCTATAGGTCACCGTACAGCCTTCTACAATGAGCAAAGCCCATACCGCATAGTCAGCTATAAAAGGCATCGAAATAACAAATGTAAAACAATTCAAACTAGAAAACTAACGGCCTGATTTATGTACAAAATAATGAACGAAAAACAAATATGAAAAACAGCAACAAACGACAACCACTGAATTACAGGCTCCTGACTTGGTCATTATCTGTTATTATCTCTTAATTTACACAATTATTCGCCATTCCAAACTAAAAGTCAAATTGAAAGAATTGGCCCTGCTTTATTTCATAAAAAGAATAGCTATCGTAGATACAATTATCCTGTCGTAAGGAAGGACACATAGTTCTTTCTAAAAAGAAGCTCTGATTCAAACAAAATATTCTCTGTAACTGACATGATAAAGATGTTTGATTTCTTAATTGATAACATAATTGTTACGTTTGGAGGACGTGTTTATCAACAAACAATTGGCATTCCTATGGGAACCAACCCCTTCTTCTTTCCGACTGGTTCCTTTACTCATATAAGGCTGACTTCATACAGGGGCGAATGAAAAGACGCTAGTATTATCCTTTAACTTCCCCTGCCGCTTTATAGATGATGTCCTCTCACTAAGTCATTCAAAGTTTGGTGACTATGTTGAACGAATCTATCCATCGAACGAGAAAAGGATACATAAGTATATCAACAATTATAAACTTTAAGGTAATTCAAAAGGGGCAAAGTCCATAAAAAATTACAAAATCAAACATTAGACTTTATCATTCTTACATGGCACAAGCATTTTCCTAAGAGAATGGTGGATCAAACCTGGTTGTACAGCTAGCTAGATCTCTCACTTGTATGACAGTTGTTTATAGTTCCGTTATATTGACAAAATTGGGTGAACAACTCAAATAGATATAATAGTTTAATGTGATCATTATTGGGATCCAGCAGCCAAAACTGCGTAATCATACATCAAATACATAAAAAACGACTGATTAAAATCTGTAAACAAACATACAAATAGATTTAACAAAGAAACCAACAAAAAAGTTTTGTAGTTGATAATACAAACAGTATATAGTATACTTTTTCTCGATAAAGTACAAATTATTCAAATATAAAGACATGGGTAAACGATATGAAAATAACACTGTAAAAAACCTCTTGTGTCCGAATTGCACTTTTGGATCCAACTGCATCAGTAACGCCCAAAATTACAAAACCCGATAGGTGGATTCATAAATACCGAGTCACTTAAAGAGTTACATGACCAAAAGGAACACAATAGCACAAAGGAAAATAAAGGGCAATCTGTAAAGTAAATAAAATGATACACACACAACTTCAGCACTTTAAACCTATAACTCAAGACATTCTTGGGTATTATTTGTGAAGTAGACACTGAATATTTCTCTGTTAGGTCGTGGTACTTCCCGTTGAACGTTTTGAGAAAAAAAAACTAGATGCTCGTTGACGTAACCGTCAACGGAATCCATTATCATTCAAGTTATATGTTCCAATTTTTGTGTTGTAGCTCTCTCAATTTGGGATATTTCGGAGATGTACATTTTGAATTATGTTTAGATTACCAGTAATTACATGGTCAGATGGCTTATGAATATACGGAGAGTAGGAACAGGCACATGTCAGAAGGTTTTTCAAGTATTCTTCTTAAGATCTTGGAATGCTTGTGTATTGTTAAATATTTTAGGTGCAATTGTTCTGGTGTAACTATGGGAGACAACAGAAACCAATTAATTTTGAAAAAAAGCGGAATTTTAGATTAACTTCTTTTGGATGAAGTACGTTGATGATTTCAATAGCAGAGATTCTTTTTTTTTAAATAATTTGGAAGGAATTTACTATTGTTACTTGTTTAAAAAGACGAAAAATAGCTACATTACACATTACACTCATACTGTACATTGCGTAAACATTTACATACACCCTTTGCATAGTCTCACAAACGTCCATGATCCAGAAATTATCTCTATCTGTTCGGAAAAGAATACTCAGTAAAGGGCTATCAGAATGGTGGTAAATATTCTCAATGATGTGTACTTTTATGGATGGAGAAGGATCATGGTCCGATTTATTAAAATGGTTTTAAAGTCTACTAAATAGTGGATTTTTATTATCATACCGGTGTTGGTTCATTCTTTTACGCAATGTTTGTCGAGTTTCACCAACATGCAGTAGCCCACACAAGGTACACACTATTCCTTAAATTACGTTATCAATGGAACAGTCCAGAGACTCAAATGATTTTGTGTAATAGGTTTTACCTGTTAAATAACTAACGAACTCTGGTAGTGATTATCATATTGCATGTTTAACATGTTTAACATGCGCCCTTTTGTTCTTTTGTATGTTGGCAATTTGAAATAATGGGAACCGATTCACTAGCTGGGGGTTTAAACAGTCAAAAATATCAAAAGTACATGGTTTAATTTTTTAAAAGGTATCCAAATTCTTAAAGTAATAATTACCTTTTAGCTGTATATTATTCAACTCCGGTGTTTGCCGCAGGATATTCGATGCGACACACAAACGAGTGTTACAGTGTTCCGTGTAGCAATATAGGGTATATGGTAATACGGGCGACGTTCGAGCCGGCATATTCGTTGTTTTGTTGTCAATCATACATAAAGCTAACAAGTTTATGATGCCCTCGGGGACAAAATCCACCAGCAGAAAAGTATCTTCTAGGACGATACTTAACATTGACTTGGTGAATATACAGTTCGCTTCATTTTTTGAATTACATCTAGAAATTGACAATAAGGGTCGGTTGAGAACAGAACTTTACGACAAAAGAGATTTTTTCAGCTTCCAAAATATTAACTTTCCTTTACTATGTAGCAACATTCCAGCAGCGCCTGCATACGGAGTATGTATCTCCTAGTTGATACGAAATTCCAGGGCTTGTATTTCTAATAATGATTTCCATGATAGAGGGTTGTTCCTCACAAAGAAGTTATTAAACCAAGAGTTCCAAGAGGTGAAGTTGAAATCATCCCTTCGTATATTTTACTGACGCCATCACGAGTTTGTTGATCGTTATGGAATATCCGTTTCACAGATGACAACGGGTATGTTCCAATTGACGTAACTATAATCCCGTCTCCTTTTCTTCGGCTGCGACCTAACGAATTAGACTTATCACCGGTTTATACTAACATGGAGCAGTATCTGCTTTTACTTTTTAGTCTATGTTTTTGGTGATATCCATTTGACGTGGCTCGGTACTTATACATCCCGTCATTGTGTTATTGTTCTATGGTAAATTTTTGTATTCTTGTCTTTCATTTTTGCTAATGTGCTTTGTCTATATGCCTTTTTGTGTTTCTTTGTTGACATATTTGTTTGTTTTTATATTGATTAAGATTATAACACAATGTTGACTGCTGTACCGCTATTTTTGACATTTTTATTTATTATGTTTGTTTGTTTTGTTCACACATCGTTGTCAATATAATTGAATTTTATGCAACTGTCATACAAGTGAGAGGTTTAGCTATCTATAAAACCAGGTTTAATCCATCATTTTCTACATAAGAAAATATCTTTACCAAGTCAGGAATATGACAGTTGTTAGCCATTCGTTTGATGCTTTTGAGCTTTTGATTTTGCCATTTGATTAGGGACTTTCCGTTTTGAATTTTCCTAGGAGTTCGGTATTTTTGTTATTTTACTGTTTACCTTTCCGGAGCACTTGAGATCAACCCCAGTATTTGGTTGGGTTCGTGTTGCTCAGTGTTTAGTTATTTATGTTGTGTTTTGTGTACTGTTGTTTGTCTGTTTGCCTTTATCTTTTTTAGCCATGGCGTTGTCAGTTTATTTTCGACTTATGAGTTTGAATGTCCTTTTGGTATCTATGCCTTTCTTTTACTCAGTCAATTTGTATTATTTATATAATGTAAGTCCACAATTATAGACTGCAGATCATCCTGCCTAGGTATATATATTCAGATGGTATGCATCTGTAACTTACGGTGCCCACTCCTTCCTGGAAATGTATGTCAGCTCATAAAGTTGTGTGTATACATGCCTACGATGAAAGAAAAAATTGAGAATGGAAATGGGGAATATGTCAAAAAGACAACAACCCGACCAAAGGGCAGACAACAGCCGAAGGCCACCAATGGGTCTTCAATGCAGTGAGAAAATCCCGCACCCGGAGGTGGTCCTCAGCTGGCCCCTAAAGAGTATGTCAGTTACTCATTACTTTATGTGTGTACATCTCGACGATGAAAGGGTATGTCAACACATAACGTGTGCAGATGCCTACAAAGAAAGCGTATGTCAACACATAACAATATGAGAAACTATGCAGAGGATGCTTACGTCAACTCCAAAAGTATGTAAATCAACGCATAATAATCTTTATTTTTCCTTATGCTACGGAAGAGTATGCTTCTATAGATATTTTTTTTTAAATAAGACATCTTCATTGTACAACATAATATATTTGTGTACATTGTATTTTATATTGGTAAATAACATGACATCATTAAACAATATAAAATAATAGTCCAAGACATAAATGTTGTCATCTCATAACAGCACTATTATTGATAAAACAAAAAAAGTTTAAAACACTTAATTAACATCGATAAACAATATTGAGACTACCATAGATCCTAATCAGCTGATATTTTCATAGCTGATTTTATAACTCAGTGGTATCACACATTAATTCGTAATTAGTACGTTCAATGAATAATGCAAGTTGAAAATATAATGTTTAAATAATACGTGTTGCTTACTCAAATATGTTTCTAATGCTCGAGAGAAAATTAAAAATAACCATAGTTACACAGCATGTTATCTGTTCCCCCCTTCTTCTGAATTACTTCGTATAAAACCAAAGGTAATTCCTCTGGTAACAACTGTTCATAAAATACAAGAAAGAGAAAATTTTGTCCATTTCTTGAATGAATACTTTCCATTCTAGCTATGTTGTATTCAAACATGCAGTAATACGACTGAAGAAAATATCTTGTTATAATACAGATGGTCTTTTTGCTGCTTTCAATTGCATGTATAATATTATCTGTTATATCTTCTCCAGGAATGAAATTACACATGTTACAATGATGTAAACATAATTTCAAATTTCCGTCGTTTTCAAGATTTTTGATACACTCGTCCAAAACAAATGCTCGATCTTCATCTGAATATGACACAAAGGTATTATAAATATAATCCAAATTGTTTGTTTTCTGACTGTTTTGAAATCGGTTCTTAATCTTTGTTTTATAATATAAGAGATGAAGTCTATCTCTAAATTTATAAAGCATATCACGGAGATTCTGTCTTTTTTTATGAGAGGCAATTATAACTAATATTGGTATGAAGACGGATATAGCAGACCACGTGATAATTATTGATATTTATAAGTTCAAAAAATCATTAGGTCAGCTAGAATTCATTTTGCCTTAGTGAATTGAATTTCAAAATGCTTCCATTGTCAAACCTGCATTTATACGTATCAAAGTTATAAAAACGATGCCGCCTACTCCAAATTCAATTAAAAAGGAGATACTGTAACAGTAACAATTAGCTTATTAAATTTTAAATCGATATTTCGTAATGTCGGCTGGTTCACAAATAGTTCAGAAATAAGGTGCTCGATGGAATTGTTGGACAGACATATATATTCAAGTCTGCTTGTTTCGTTCAACGCATAGATATATTCCTCTAGAAACTCATCGAGTGCATTACCAGAAATGCTCTGGAACATAACATAAGTCAAGTTGAGACTTATTTGAAGTATACCGTTGCTACTTAAATCAAGACTTTGCAAAATGACTGGTGCTGGTATAACACTTTCTATGGGAAAGATTGACATCCCGTGGAAGCAGCTGTCTTTATTTCTTATATGAAGTTCACGTATTGTCGTATCAAGTAATAGAACATTCTCATTTTTCCCAGGAAAAATCCTTTTATATCAACATTATTAATTTTTAAGATTTCCATTGGTGACTTCGACAAGCTTAAAATAATGCGAATCACTTGCTGATGATGCTCATAATTACGGGGCAGAAGAAATCTAGTTGCACAAATTTAAGCTTTGTAAAAAACAAACACGTACCAGTCTCTATGGACATTATATTGCAATTTATAAACAAATGTAGAAAGATTATGCAAGGAAGAAATCCCTATCCCTAGAATTCTTTCTTTAGCGGAATTGACATCTAAATCTAGTGCTTCTAACTTTTTCAAATCTTTAATTGCCTCATCTGGAAGGATGAAAGTATCTGGTACATTTTGTTGATTATTCATTTGAACAGAAAGTTGTTTGAGCACTTCGAAATGTTTAAAACATCCTGGTTGTAACTGCGCCGTATTATTTCAAGGTTTATTATTGTTGAGTCTGAGAACTTACAGGTCTTTAAGTTCTATAAATGTCTTTTCATTAAGTGACTGCAGGTCGTTATTTGATAGGTCATGTAATCTAAGATCTGTCAAATGTTAAAAGGTTTGATTTGATATTTATTTAATATAATTGGAGCGTAAGAACAGATGACGCTACCTTGAAAGCCCAGCAAACATTTTCCTAATGATTGATTGAAAAGAATTAACTTCAGTACAGTTAGATTGATTAGCGATTGCAACGCATCGTTTTGGATATTGATATTGCGCATGTAGTTACCATTGAGATAAAGATCATGCAGGTTTTCAAGTCCACTAAACATTCCTTTAGTTACATTTTATTTTTTTGCATTATATGATAAATCAAGAATAAAGAGCTTTAGAGTGTATTGAAAGGTACCATATGGTAGTCCTTTTAAAAAGTTATTGTTGAGTTTAAGTTGCTGCAAGTTCACAAGTCAATCAAATGTATATTCATGAAGTGATGTTATTGTAGGATAAATCCAAAACGGTAAGATTGACTAAATGTTTAAACACATTTTTTGGCAAACTTAAACTTTCATCAATAGGATATTGTGAATTACTACTGAGAAAAAGAAACCGCAGATTTTGAAGGCCTGCGAATAAATCCTCATTCATTGTAATGATTGTGTTGAAAGATAGATCTAACAAAACAAGCTTCTGCAAATGGTCAAAGGTTTTATTCGGTATTTGTCTGATTACGTTAAGTTGTAGTTAGATGTTAATCGTGTCAACTGGAGTACCTGGGACAGCTCTCAGGTTTTTATAAGAACAATCAACGTGTAATTGTTTATGTGATTGAAATGTTTACAGTGGATATTTGTTTCTGATTTTGCTGGGACAATGTAGGTTTTATGACAGTCGCAACTGAACAGGGAAGTCATCACTAATACCTTTAAAGTTATAACTTGCTTCATACTGCATGGTGATTTATTCTTTTGCTGATAAAATACAAAGACTTTAAAATTGATTAAAAAGAAAGAATCTGTATTGGATGCACGTGAGACAACATCTTGAAATACTGAGGAGTAAATAAAGTATAATTACACAAAACTACAATCCCTTCCTGTTTTTCCTCGAATGTGAAGGACTGTAATTAGACTTATCACCAGGTTTGTACTTACATAAGCAAGACGACGAGTGCCTTATTTGGAGTAGGATCTGCTAACCATTTACGGAACACATGAGATCACCCCCAGTTTTTTTCTGGGGTTCGTGTTGCTCAGTCTTTTGTTTTCTATGTTGTGATTTTTGTACTGTTGTTTGTCCTTTCATCGTTTTTCGTTTTTTGCCATGTCATTGTCTGTTTGTTTTTGACCTATGAGTGCGAATTAACCTTTGTATCTTTCGCCTCTCTTTAACACCTGATATAATAATCCTGTATTTTAATTGGTTGCAATTGACAGACACTGTATTTGTCCTGCGTTTTTTTTTTTTTTCATTTGATGAATTTGGTTCATTTGATCGTCCTGAATGTGCATGATAGCTAGAAAATCAGGTTTTAACCCATCATTTTCTAAGGAAAATACCTGTGCCAAGTCGAAATACGAGTTGTTTTCCTTTTGAGTTTTTTCAAGCCATGTTTGTTTTCCCCAATGTTTACAAAAATCAAAAAAGGATATTCGTTTTATAGATATGTCTGTGCTTAAAAATTATTGGAAATCAGATAAGACAATCTTAACTTTCCATACGACATAAAACTTATACAGGATTTAGAGACGGACATGTAATGTTATAAGGCAAATAGACAGTGTGGTATAATCAAATAATCAGATCCCAAAGAAATGAACCAGCATAGCCCTATTCACAAACAAAAGTCATGCAAATCTGATCTTTTGTTATATCAATTACACATAGAAATTTTCGCATGAAAGATTTGATCGTTTTCGTGGTTTTTTCCAATAACGGCTGCAGATCCTCAGATTTTTTTCGCGATCATAGAAATGCGGTTCCCGATCTTTCACAATCCAAAAATATCAAAGTTTTACAATTATTTCTATTTTTGCAAAGTTTTTGATTAAACTAAAACCAAATAACTTTATGAACTATTTTAAACAGTAATATTGAATGATATTTTTAATAGAAAAGTAGGTTATGCTTTACAAATTTGAAAAAAAAAATCATGTATGTTTACATTGTTATTTCTGTGAAATTTGGAGGAGCAATCTACTTTTTAAGGTTTTGTAAATACAGTGTACTTTTAAACCTTGATTGTTCTCGGATATTGATCATAGTGTTGAAGCATTTTGACAGACAGTTTAATTTTTCCAATATTTGTCATTTAATTCATAAAATTATATTATTGACTGAAGTTGTATGTGTCTTCTCGATAAAGATTTCCTTCATGATCCTATACCAGATCTTTCACGATCCAACCGCAATACTTGTATGGCCACCGTTACTGATTCTTTCACGATCCAATCGCAATACTTGCATGACCACCGTTACTGATTCTATCACAATCCAATCGAAATTCTTGCATGTCCACCTTTACTGATTCTGTCACCCTAATTTATCTCGATATACCGAATGGCAGCCGTGAATAAATTAAATTTTGCGGTTCTATTGTACTTAATTGTTTTCATCTCAGTTTTCTGGGAATAATAACATGACATCAGCAGGATAATCCTTACATCATCAGTGCTCTCGGTTTCTACTGGGATATGTACTGCCCAAAACTTCAATGCTCAGTTGAGTTTTTCCTCATACATCATGTGTGCATATCTTAGAGAGGTGAATTAATACGGCATTTAAACGAAGTCTCAGTTTATATATATATATTGATTTTATTTTTGTATCATTGTTTGCACATACGTCCCGCATTGTTTCTAAAACAGTTCATTGGAAGATATCAATACCTTGTTAATAAATATTCCGTATCAACTTCACAAATAATACGATGGTCTTGAAGTATAGATTCTAGGTACTGGCGTTGTTTTTCAGCTTAATTACGTGTTAATTTTCCACTTTTTCGTCCTTGTGTATTTTTAACCTTTACTGTTTATCCATTTTTGATTATATACTTATGACGTGGATCGGTACGTATACATGAATTTGAGTTCTTGTCTTTCATTTTTGCTTATATACTTTGTCTTTATGTCATTTTGTGTTTCTTTTTGTTGAAACAGTTATTTGTATTTATAGTGATTAAGATTATATAACAATGTTGACTGCTGTAACCCAATTTTTGACGTTTTACCTATTATGTCTGTTTGTTTTGCTCACACATTGTTGTCAATGTAATGGAATTCTATGCGACTGTAATACAAGTGAGAGGTTAAGCTAGCTATTAAACCAGATTTAATTCACTATTGTCTACGTAAGGAAATGCCTGTACCAAGTCAGGAATATGACAGTTGTTTTCCATTCGTTAGATGTGTTTGAGCTTATGATTTTGCCATTTTATAAAGGACTTTCCATTTTGAATTTCCCTTGGAGTTTTTTTGTTATTTAACTTTTTGAATATGAGACATATCAAATCGACCCCGAAACAATCACCAAACAGGAATAACTATTTAAAAAAGTCATAATAAATTTATTGAGCACATAAATAATCTCAATTAGAATTTAATTATTGGAGTTTCTAAAACTCTGCAGTATATCTTAGGTAGTTAATGCAAACCTTAGCTCTGCATAAACCAAACATGTTTTCTAAAACTGTGCAGCATATCTGAGGTAGTTAATGCACATCTTCTCTCTGCATTACCCAAACTTGCCAATGTCGTGTGTTTATTGAATAAAGTGTAGACTTAGTTTTAATACAAATAATTATCTTACTTGTGTTACCACAAATAACCACATAGAATGAAAACAATATTTGAAAAGTTAATCAGGAAATTGAAACTTGAAAATACAAATTGCACAGAACAATGTAAAAGTGTTCAACAAGGAAATTAATAAAAAGTGTATATTTGTAAAACGTAAATTTGCAATTGGTTTCATAATGTAAATATAATGAATCATTACAGACTTTCATCAAATTAGATAAAATATATCAATGGTCCTTGATATTTAGACTAAGAACAATTGGTATTGATCAAGCTACACTTTATGCCAAGCCGAAAATTCTTATATTCAATCATTAAACGTCACCTAGAGCGCAAATCCTGTCATATGAGAAATGCTTTAAATTTGCCATTACTCCCGTTGCTCAACAGAATGATATTGCGTTCATTCGTTAGTTTATATTTTGGTTTGGCTTTCGCAAAGGGGTACACTTTACTTATACATGTACCATGAGCATAATTTATCAATATACACATATAAGATACATGTTACAAAGGCATATTAACCAATTGGATGAATAAACTGTTCAAGATCAACGCCTCATAATGGTAAAAAAAAACAGAACAACTATATAATATCGATGTTACAGACGACAAAAATACAGATTCAAACGTGGCAATACTTATAGGTTTCATAACGAGTTGAATATTGTTTGATATCTACTCGAGTTTTTAAGTTTGGATATAATAAAGAGCCTTCGGCGAGTTTATTATTACTATTTGAATTTAATAACGAGAGCTGATATCAAGTGATATATAATTCTCACAAGTTGTTAGTCCTTGTTAAACACTATCCTTGTGTTAAATTAAAAATTCCGCGAATCGTTGATCTAGTCTTTTGCACATACACGTATGACGTCATATGTCCTGTTCCGGCGTTAACCTTTAACATAAGACATTTAAAAACTTTCTGTACGCTTCAGAATAAAATGAAATTTTGACAAAATGAAGATTTCAGGTGAAAAGTGTGAGTGTTTTGTATATTATTGAAAAAAAAACATATGCTCGTTGCCATGGAAAATATAAATATATCGTACTTTGAAAGTCATCAATAACTATAACGAATAGCCAATGTCGTAATATTTTCTTATTGCAGAATAAGCCAATCAAATTAACGCATTTTTCATATCGCTTTTTCGTATCAAACTGCGGGATGTGTGATACGAGTAATATTTGTTCATTCAAGAAAAGATAACAGGTCACAACGATAAGAGAATATAGATTATCATCCTTCCCTACCGCTATATCAGCTTCCTCAACGTATCCGTAAAACTCGTATCATGTTAGCGCGTGCAGTGAGGAGACATTATCAAGTGAGCAGGACTTATCAACAAATTCTCCCAACATATTGCCTTATATTGTAATAGTGATAAGTCACCAAATAAATTCTTTTAATCAAATAAATTACACTACATATTTTCCGATGAACCATTTTTTCCCCCTAAAGTTACTTTAAATTCTGAAACGAGAAGTTGATAAAAACGTGTCGACCGCAGTCTTGATAAGTTCTGCCGGGTAGCTGTAGGCTATTTGACCTAACTTGAACCCTTGAACTGACCTGTATTGAGATCAATCTATCGATACAAATGTCAACAATTCGGGGGTGGCAGTTTAAATGATTAAAAAGATTTATAGTGAACATAAAAATTCAAAGTAAAACTAATAATAAAAATTAATTGATTAAATGCACATGTATTATACACTCTAGATTAAACATTTCATATGTAAAAGAAATAAGCCGATAACAGTCCATTCTGTAAAATATTGGACAGTTCTGCGGCCGAATGGACTTTGAGAGGCTTATATCTTACTTAAAACATTGTTTAACACGTCAAAAAGGTGAAAAAATGCAAGCAAAT